GTAGAAAACAAAATTGTGATAAGAGAAAAACTACACATGAAATGAAGTTGTACATAGCAAGGCCTTCACTAGAGACGATCTTGTACATAGGGTGTCGTGTTGATGTCCTAATGAGCTCCAGTTTTATGAACGAAGGGGAACATGTTCAGAGGTTTGATGTCCAGCTAGTGTTTTATATGTTCCCTCAATTAGTTCCCTTTTCAGTACCAGGCAACTGTGATAACTCGACATCCTGGCGTTGATATGTGTTAAAAAATTATCACATTATAATTGTCCACTAGTGTTTTACTTGTTCCCTCTAGTTTTACTTTTTTTTCCAGTACCAGACAACTGTGATAACTCGACATCCTAGCGTTGGCATTTGTAATAAAAGTATCACATTATGAGTTACTTAGATGCGTGTAATTTACAGGACGTTACAGGACCAACACCAGCATTGTTTGGCTGTTGTAGTGTTTCTAGGCAAATTTACGTTCACTAATTTGCCATTACAATGAATAGAGGAGTTTAAAAAATAACCTCAATAATTATGTGATACCTCCAAAATAAAGGATGTCTACAGTGCACCCACTGTGGTCTTGGGAAAAACTGCTTGGTGAGGCCTCCTTTTCTTCCACGGTCCGATTCTCGTACTTCTTCTTCTTCTTCCTCTTCTTCGCGTTCATGGGCTGTAAATTCTGGTGGAAAGTACTGGTTGTTAGTCTTCTTCAAGAATTTGAGTTTGGCGTTCACATCCGTTTTACAGATTTGACTTATTTTTACACATACTGTTGGTTCCTTGCCTCTCAGGCAGAGGCACTTTGACTTCGTCGAATCGACTCCTAATTAGTCAACTCCTATGACATGCTTTTTTTGGGAGGCAATGGATCTATCTCGCCCCCCCCCCCCCATCCAAACCGCGATGGGACCCCGGAACTCACACGGGAATGTTATAAAACTATCGAGCATTCTCTCTGTCTCTCTGACTCTCTCTGGCTCTCTGTCTCACACACACACACTCTCTCTCTCTCGATCTCGATCTCTCTCGATCCCCTCTGACCCCTTTCCTCTCTAACTTTCCCACTGTGATGATATGCTCTCATTTTACTCTCCTCATGGTGCGACCAGTTCATGTGTATTGTCTCCTTCTGAGAGAGGTATTCCGTTCTCATTATTTTTTTTCTTCTCTTTTCCAACTTTTCTTTATGTCCATCCGGAATGTTCTCGTCATTCGCCTGTAAAACCACATCTCTGCTGCTTCCACGCGATTTCTCACTAATCAGTTAACTGCTCAAGATTCACTGTCGTGCATAATGATTGGCTCTCTATCGCTACTGCCCAAGATTCACTGTCGTGCATTATGATTGGCTCTCTATCGCTACTGCTCGAGATTCACTGTCGTGCATAATGATTGGCTTTATATCGCTACTGCTCAAGATTCACTGTCGTGCATAATGATTGGCTTTATATCGCTACTGCCCAAGATTCACTGTCGTGCATAATGATTGGCTCTCTATCGCTACTGCCCAAGATTCACTGTCGTGCATAATGATTGGCTTTATATCGCTACTGCCCAAGATTCACTGTCGTGCATAATGATTGGCTCTCTATCGCTACTGCCCAAGATTCACTGTCGTGCATAATGATTGGCTCTCTATCGCTACTGCCCAAGATTCACTGTCGTGCATAATGATTGGCTCTATATCGCTACTGCCCAAGATTCACTGCCGTACATCATGATTGGCTAAGTATATCTCTACTGCCCAAGATTCACTGCCGTACATCATGATTGGCTCAGTATATCTCTACTGCCCAAGATTCACTGCCGTACATCATGATTGGCTAAGTATATCACTACTGCCCAAGATTCACTGTCGTGCATAATGATTGGCTTTATATCGCTACTGCACAAGATTCACTGCTGTATACCATGATTGGATTTATATCTCTACTACCAACGATTCACTGCCGTACATCGTGATTGGCTCTATATGGCGTCTGCCAACGATTCACTGCCGTACATCGTGATTGGCTCTATATCCCCTTTAGAAACTTCTATACACACCTCAATTGACAGAAAAGGCAGCATTTTACCAAATGAGGAATATTTTATGCAATCTTTCTTTGTCAACTGAGACAAGAAAGAAAATTCTAAAAACTATATAAATTCTATCTTGATATACGGAAGTGTATCAACGACAGGTGGTAAATTAGTGAATAATTATTTGTAAGAAACGGTGATGTGGTTTTATAGACGAATGATGAGAATACTCTGGATAGATAAAAAGAATGATGAAGATGTCTTGAAATAAACTGACTCACAAAGAGAACTGACTGCCCACATCAGAAAAAAAATAATCTACATTCTTTGGTCATGTGATGAGGAGAAAACCAGAGTACATCGTGACAAAAGAAAAGTTGGAGGGGAGGAGAGGTAGAGGGAGACCGGGAGAAAAGATGCAGGATAGTCTGACACAACGACATGAAGGATCATCTAAATCAGAGTTGATTGAAAATACACGAGACAAAAGGATGTAGACAGACATGACTACCAACGCCACGCAACATGCACTTTAAGAAGAATAAGCAGCAGAAGAAGAAATTGACAGAAATATATTCCATTGAATATTCATCAACTTTTTAACTTCTTTGGCGTCCGTGACTGAGGCGTTGTGAGTCCGATTCGTAATCCAGAGTACCGCGATCGAAACCCACTGCTGGCTGCGTGGATTTTGATCATGGTATGGGGCGTCGCAGGTCGACCAAGAGTAAAATGGGTACCAGGATGGCTGTCCTAGGGAAGTAAAGACAGCCGGCGGAATGCTGACCACATTACCCATCCAGTGGCGAAGTGGTCTGAAAAATTATGGGACGCTCTTCCCATATACCCGATGCGTCTAAGGCGTGAACGGGATCTTTACTTTTACTTTACTTTAACTCCTTTAAAGTTGTCTTATACACCATTCAGATTTGGAAATAACTTGAGATGGTATGTGCCGATGGGCCTGAAGAGCTTTTTCAATCTGTTTGGAATCATAAATGTTGTTGAACTAACATGGTGGCAAGAATGCACACATGACGAGGAAACCAAAGTGAAAGTTGTGTGTACGCCAAGCTACCACTGGACCAAGCGCAAATTATTTGATAATAACAAGGTACGTAGTTTCCTGATGTTTTGTTGTTGTTGTTGTTGTTTTTTTGTTTTTGTTTCTTTTCCTGAAGGATTGCGGTCTTAGGATTAACACCCCAGGGATAATAGTGAGTGAGTGAGTGACTTTCTACCCCACTAGGACATCACACAAGCGATAAACACCCGATGACACAACGTGCCACCATGTGGATGAGGATCACCGTGGAGAGGTCCCAGAAACCGCGTTCAGACATTTGGCCATTTTTATGGCCTGCCTATATTGCGGCCCCTGGCAAAAGCCAGAGTGGGGCTTCAAATAACAAAAAATTACGTCCTGAAAAGGACGTAAACACTTATTAACATCGTCTAAAAGGGATAATAATCAAACAGGCACAAATCACAAAAACCATGCGTAACGGTTATTTTGGATCACACTAAGGTTATAAAGTTAACAACAAAACATAACATAGCACTTATCCTGTTCGGGTCGTGGAGATGTATCGATGGAAGCACCAGCACATAAAACCCACCATCTTTCTCTGTTTTTCGCTTGTTAAGTAAATGATAACTAACTTACACGCAGGCGTCGATGGAAATGAAAGAGCTGACAGGTTGGCTGGATCCGCTATCACTACCGACGGTCGGCCTATGGATCATGCTGATATTATCAATGCCCTCAGAGAAATGGGAAGGATAGAGGACTTTGGTGGCAGTGAATCCACATCACTCGCCAGAATGGCAGACTTGGGAATTAAGATCGGCACAGCAAAAAACGAGACGCACACCAGCTACGCCAGAAGACTTGTTAATCAACATAGAACTGGTACTATTAGCCATCAGACGTTGGGGTTCATACTGAGGGGAGGATCTGAGCACCTATGGACATGTCCGGAGTGCAATGACGATAACCCAACTAACTAACTAACTAACTAACTAACTAACTAATGATAACTAACTTAGTCCTGTCCATTTTTTGATGTTGTCATTCTAGTTTTTTTTTTCCTTTGCCCTCCCTTTCTTCTACTACCCTCCAATGTTCCTTGAAGTACAATCTTTGCAATCAAATAATGTTATAAAGTTACCCTTAGTATAGTTTTAGTGGTGTAGGTTCTGTTTATTTTTTTTTTTATCTGTGTCTGATACTCTCTCTCTCTCTCTCTCTCTCTCTCTCTCTCTCTCTCTCTCTCTCTCTCTCTCTCTCTCTCTCTCTCTCTCTCTCTCTCTCTCTCTCTCTCTCTCTCTCTCTGACTTTTGGCCAGGTATGTGGAATATGTTGTGACAACAGCCACACTAAAGGGAATAGAAAGCAAAACAGGAGAGAAGATGTCAGCATCGTAGTATGGAAGAACATCTATATCAGAAATAATTGACAGAACACGAGGCAGACGACTATTTAGAAACATTACTGACCTAACAATAGACATCATTGCATACTAACAACTCTTTCTATGCCAAGCAACGCACTGTGCATGATTGGATATTATTTATGTCTTCCAGTCTTAACGTTATATTCCCCGTGTGGGAACCGGGGCCCCATTGTAGGGAACACAAGAATACACCAATGCCTTCCCAACAAGCATGTCGTAAGAGTCGACTCATTGGGGGGCTTCCTTCGAAATCAGTAAACCGGTTATTTCATCCAACATCCTTTGCAGCTGCACGATGACCAACGCAAAATGTCTGGGCTTCAAGAAGATTATTGTGGTAGTGACACTATTGTATTTTACAGAGCATAAAACGATTTAGCCATCTCTTTAGTATGCAGCCAGAACTAGTACCAACATAGGCTGTACACGTGATTAGATTCAATTTAAAATCAAGAGGTTGCCCTAGGAGAACATCGATTGATGACGTAAAAGACTTACGTCAATACGGAATGACAACAGTCATTGCAACTCATCAAGCAATGGATCGCAGACTATTCCTCCTCACAACGCTTAGGGCAAAAGTGGAAAATACTGATGACAATAGGTTGCACTGTTAAGTGTTTATCTGACTGTTCTACCGTTACTTCAGGTGCTCTGGTGCAGCTGGTGTGTTGTTGGACCCAAATGCAACTTTTACTTTGCTGGTGATACAGGATCATTTCCGGCATTCAAAGAGATAGGTCAGGAATATGGGCCTTTCACACTAGCCACCATACCTATAGGGGCATATGAGCCAAGGTATTGTATAATCTGTCAGCCTGCCTGCCTGTCTGTTAGTTTGTCTGTTGTTTCCGATTAAGACTGCTAACTGCCAGTTTGACCCAAACCTAACAATTCAAGAACCTCATTAACGATGGCAAGCCAGTTGGGCAGATCCAAATATCCCATTCATCCCCGAGATAAGTTTTAATTGTTGAATGTTGGCATCTTTATATCTTTCCAGTCGATAGTGTTATATTGCGTCATGAGGAGGCATAGAACTCACAGCCCAAGGCGATTGCGAGTGTGACTAGCAAGACCAGCGCGCATTAGGAAAAGTCTTTCCCAATTATAGCATGGGATTTCAGGAGCAGTGTTGCCATCATTTGTATGTAATGTGTTTTCTTCTCAGGCGCTCAGCTGTCATAACTTCTGCAATAATTGCTTCCTTCATTTTCATATCCTTCCTGATCTGCCCCCTCCACGCAACACGGTCCATAGCGTTTTGTTCCTACGAATCCACCTCATCTATAATTGGAGGCACCAGCTATGACTACACCAGACTGGTGAGCAGTTAAGGATGTGAATATTGTATTATTGCAGACTAAACCATATGGTAATAACACAAAAGAACAAAAAACAAAGAACAAAAAGGTAAGAACATACATAACTTCCACAGTAACAAAGGACACTTAGCGGGTTTATTTACTCTTCCCCCTGAATTACAACCACATGTAATAAATTTTCTTTCATTTTATATTTGGGCAGAGTCTGCTGAAGAAATCTGGCATCACTAGTGGAAAGTGTAAAAGTAATGCTTTTGACAGTTGTCATGGGGATTCCCCCCCCCCCCCCCCCTCTCATGTTGATGTGCTGCAAAAGTTTCTGGCATTGAGAGTTAAACACATCCTTATGTGTGTGTGTGTGTGTGTGTGTGTGTGTGTGTGTGCGTGTGTGTGCGTGCGTGCGTGCGTGCGTGTGTGTGTGTGTGTGTGTGTGTGTGTGTGTGTGTGTGTGTGTGTAAAAATCACAAATTTATACATGCATATGTTGAAAAAAAAAAATGCCAAAAGAAATCGACGAACTTTGAATAGGGTGACTTCAAGAGAGGCAAAGAAATAAGAGAAATGGCTGGATAACCGTTGGATCAACAGTTATTAGACAAAAAAAAGTGACAATATATTGAACACACTAAGAAGCAGGCAGAGAATCACCAAGGAGGCACTGGCATCGGAAGCAAAGGGACCGGGCAAACCAGGGCATCCAAGAGAACCTTAACATGAATGTTTCTGAAAGAGGCTAAATATGTTGAAGTGGATTACATTAGCATCCAAACAATAAAATGGCAGACTACATACAGCTGTAACAACGCTGGCTTAAGTGTCCATCTGGATCATGCCATTTCTTTTGTTTCCAGTATATTATTCATCTGAGTAATATCTTTTGAAAGAAAATTATCTGCACGTTGCCGCCATAATTCAAACTTTGGGGTGACATCTTTTTAACATGTGTAAACATTTTTGTATGGTTTAAAAAGTGTGTCTCTTCCATGGTAAAAGTTGACTCGTGTGAAAACTCACTCACAACACGGCCGTGTTATGTTTCCTCGCACATCCACTTAGACATTCGTTAGCCTAATCCTAATTCGTTAGCCAGGTCACTTGTTATATGAAGTATCACTGCAAATGTAATAAAATGGTTACACATTTCATAGTTAATTAGATTAACTACTTCAGCTATGCACATGATTGATGTTTTTCACAGGTGGCTGTTATTCCATCAGCATGTTAACCCTGAAGAGGCTGTAGACATTCACAAGGATGTCAAAGCCAACATTTCCGTAGCGATACACTGGGGAACTTTCCCTCTGGGCTATGAGGTATTTTCTTGTATTGTTAATAATATACTAGGAGGGCGTGTTAGCGCAGTCGATAGGGGACTCGCTTCCAAATCCAGCTGCGACTCGCTGCAGCACACGGTCGGTGTTCCAAACCAGACGGTTCCCGGAGTTCAACCAACCTCTAGGTAATGGGTACCAAAGTTAAAACTCTGGGGTAAATGGGGGAACGTCGCTGTAGCTACAGAGTTGCGTGCGGACGGCGAAACAGGTGGACGATTTCTTTATCAGCTGTCCGTACTGGTAGCAGAGCACTTACGGTTTGTAACCGTGTGAAATGACGCTGGTTAACATCTCCCGACCTTTTTTACCTTTTTTAATAATATACTACAAGCTGACATTAAAAAATCCGGCAATCTCTTGACCCGAGTGCCGGATGTGTGAGCATTCCAGATTTATGTCTATATTAAACGGGAAATGACTCATGTCATGAATTATAATGTATTAAAATTAAATATTAAACGAAAAGTAAATGAAATTTTAGATAAAACAGTTCTGTCGAATTTTAATTCAGTAAATAAAATAGTTTCTCAGATTGTTATTTTAAAAAAAAAAAAAATCCCCAGAATTTAAATTTAAAAATGTGCTCCGAAATTCATGCCGGAAATATAAAGGTATCGGGATATCGATGGCCGGATTTTTTAAGGGCAAACTGAATTGTTTCTTTCTGCTTTCTTTCTGTGGGTCTCTGTGGTCAGGTGGCAAGCTGCCATGTGCGCTGGATCTTGCAGGTTTGTTTAACGGGCTTGTTTATTTCACAAGTCAGCAAGAGGTCATAAGTGTAGATTGTTTAGATAGCAATAGCACATCCGTCGTCTCATTACAGGTCCATTGAAGAAAGTTGGTCTCCTTACAGTTTGGCTGAAAGAAACATGATCTTCGTGGCAAAGTGGTCAGTTTGTTTGAATCGCGCTTTGAAGGTCGTGGGTCTGTTTCACGGCTGCGCCCTTCAGTTCGCGAGTGCAGTTTTTACGTTGATCCCTGGTAATCGTCGCCGGAGCTACGAAGTTCATGCTCTGTGCGGCGCTCTCGGCAGGCAGCTAGCCGTTCCGCGGAGAGCAACCGAGCCATATGGGAAAATACCCTGTAAAATGAAGTCGATTCTTCCGACTTTAACCCTTATAGGTCGCTCGCCAGTTCTCTCGCCTCACTTTCGTACCTAAAGTGTCAATAACATTTGTGCCCACCTTCATGCTGGTCAGCCCTTGCTCCTCTTTCATAGTACCATGTCCTCTGCTATAATTATGTTCGGTCCCTCATTATGTTTGCTATGGCCAAACTGCTGGCCGAGCAATTACACCGCCGGGCTCTCATGCTGGTGACCCGAGTTCGACTCCCGGTAAGTGGGAGTTTTTCTATCAGGGCCAAAATGGAACATTCTATCATGTAAAGTCCGTGGCGACAGCACTGGCCGTGCTGTCCTAAATCATCAGGCTCACTACCTCGCTGTTTAAACCGCTCTAATAAAGGTACACACAGAAGTAGTGACAGCTGAGTGTTTAATGGCAAGCTACTGAACCGAAAATTGTCTAGTAAAACCACAAACAGAGAGCACTACTAGGACTGGTTTACAACTAACTTCTTGTAAAGATATAAAACTGAACAGAAAGTAGACGGTTTGGGTAACTTCTTGTAAAGCACATGCAAACAAACACCAGCCTAACTACCTGTAGATTATGGCAAGCATCTGCACAAAATTGACAGCGTTTTACAATTTTTCAGTAAAACTTAACTATGTGTAAATTATGGAAAGTATGTGCACATAATTTAAAACCTATCTACTATATCACTTCAGTTTTACCTGGAGCCAAGAGAAAAGCTTAAGGAAGCGCTGGAGATGAAAGGTGTCAGCCCCTCCTCCTTCTTCACCGTTAACCATGGAGAGATCATTATCGTGAATCAGCAGTAGAAGCTAGAGTTTTTTGTGGATATAACGAAATGTTTTCAGGCTTATCATTTTAAATAGTTATTTGCAGGGTTTTTGTTTTTCTAGAAAAAAAGGGGGGAGGAGGGGGGGGGGGGCGATAGGGGGTGGAAACAGGAAAAAACAAAGTGCGAGCAGAACTCACCACAAAGTGTTTGTTACAGTAGGGCTTTAAAAAAATGCAAAGTAGAAAATTAAGGACCCTTTTCCCCGCCTTACAGGCGTATCGGTTATATACGGCTAGACCTAAATTTTATAGACTAAACAGCACTTGGTGGGTGATGTGGTCAGCATCACGCTGGCCGCCTTTACTTCCCATGACTGCACCTTGTACCCATTCAAGGCTGGTTCGACCTGAGAGCCAAGGTCATTTTTGAAAAAAAAAGTTCAGTTTCCTTTAGGAACCGAACGCACGACCTTCCGATCCGCAGGCGAGCGTCTAACCGCTAGATCATGGCGGTTCAATGCTGAAAAAATTGGATGTCTAGAAATAGGTACCGGTGCTGTGTACAGTTGCGTACCGCGAGGGGGAAAAAAATCCCTGGCTACATGTCCATGTGTGGGTTCTGGAATCCTATTTGGGGTGCAAAAAGATGAGGAGAGGGTAAAAAAAAAGGGGGGGGGGGTGTTTATACCCAATGCCACTAAGTCTTTCAGCCCACAGGAACTCTTCGTGCATTTATTATGAGGATCAGAGACAATGATCGTCAATCGAGTCACCAGTTTGTCCCCTCCAAGGTTTACCAGATCATCGTGAGATTTAAAAATCTTGGTCCGGACTAAAGACCAGCAAGGCAGATCTCAGATACCACCTCCACCCCCCCTCCCAAGAAGTTGTTAGAGAGTACACATAACAGCAACACCAGCCAGTCGTAACATGCAGTTCAATGACGGTAAGGATCGAAAAGACAGCGCTTGCTGCTTGCTTTGAAAAAAAAAAACTTTCAGCCAGCATCCCCGAAAGAGGAGCTTTAGGTTGTATTTGTGACTAGATTGTGTGCGCCATATAAAATGACTACTAGCATTGCACGCCACCTAAAGCACTGAGAAGGACTCCTGCAGTGTTGATGCGATCAAAGGAGACGGAAGAAGTACTGTCCTAACCGACAACGAGGTCGTCTGCCGGCGAGCCAGTATGCAACCCCGGTAGCCGATGATATCAAAAACAGTGCGCATTTTTGACTCTTTTATATCACAGAGGGTTCGTCATTATCATCATCATCATGAGTGACGCCAATAAGTAAAGCTATCCTTTCAGCACTCAAGGTTAAAATTGCGCCATGCAGTTTTCATCGAGTTATCAGAGTACATGTCTGTTATTTTATCATTATCATTCCGTAACACTACGTATCGTTGGGTCATCAGTTTCTGTTGACTCTCTGAACAGCTCTCTCCACCTTTGGTGGTCAGTTGCGATGGACTTAATGGTTGCATGCCTGAGGCCTGTCCAGTCAGTCAGGTTCTGTAACCAGGTCTTTCTTGGTCTGCCTCTTCTCCTCATCCCTCTACTGAGCCCGGCAGTATCGTTTATGAGAGGCCGTTAGATCTAATTACATGTCCATACCGTTGCATTTTTCGACTTGTCACTGTAGTTAAAAGAGGTTCGTAGCTGCCAATGTGCTGTATAATTTTATAGCGAACTTTCTCGTTTGTAATGTGGTCTCTGTATGATATGCCAAGAATGTTTCTGATACATCGCCTTTCTAATGCTTGTATCTTTCTTTCAAGTAAAGCTGTTAAGGTCCACGTTTCACAGCCATATGTAAAAGTACTAATTAATAGCTAGTGCTCTGAACAATCAAATCTTAGTTTTGCATGAAATGCTTTTAGATTTCCATAATATTTGCTGTTATTTTGTATATCATTTAATTATTTTTTTAGAACAATTATATAATTTGTATTATAGTTTCAAATATTGCTTTGTTTACACCTATTTTGGGCTATGAATAAAATTAAAATTGTGTTATGAATATTTAGATAATCTTACTAATACTGTTTCATTAATAGAGAACTGTCCCATATTCATGTCTCTAGGCGCATTAAGCATTTTATGCTAGCTTCATAATTTCTTTATACCCATAAGCATGCATGGGCGATGTGGTCATTAGAACACCAGCTAGCTATACTTCCCAGAACATTTCCTGGTATCTATCTGTAGGCATGAACTTGACCACATCTTATCATCTATCATCATCATCATCATCATCATTTTGCGGGTATTTTACAGAGTATCGGTCTATTTTGGACGCACCTGGGAGGGTCTCTTTCTCCAGCCCTGTGCTTTCATAGCCAGAGCTTCTTCAATGTCTTGTAACCACCTTCGTTTCGTGCAATTTCCGCTGTAATTATTTCGATGTGCAGTCTTATTAGGCAACCCCATACATTTATTTTTATTTTTAATTTAAAAAAAAAGACAAAGTTATGCCTCTGAAACCTCTCCATCAATCCCTCATATGGACGCCGGAAGGGAAAAGAAAACGAGGAAGACCAAGAGAACAAAATCAGGAAAGGCTTAACCATGGGCCTGACAAACATCCAAAACCTAAAGCAGGTGGCAACAAACCGCCAGACATGGAGAGCTATGACCTCTGTCCTATGCGCCGCCCTAGGCCCAAGAGGAAAGATTAACTAATGCCACTGGAATATGTAGGAGAGGCTCCAGAACCTACGCCGCTACACACCCACCAACCCGCGAAGATTGTTTGGGGGCCTTTGGAGAGGGGCTACATCCTCATTATGTATTAACCATTCAGCAGTTGATGATAGTAACAAAAGCCGCTGTCGCATAGTGGTTGGACGATCGCCTCAGCCATGTAGGATGTAGGTTCATATCCCAGTCGAAAACCGGAAGTAAAGACTGCCCGCGTGATGCGATAACAAAAATGGGGTTAAGTTGGGAAATGTGAACCAGCGTCATTGCACACAGTTATAAACCATAAGTGCTCTGCCACCTTTGCGGATAGCTGATAAGAAACTGTCCGCCCGTGTCGCAAGTGTTAACTCTAGTACCGATTTCCGAGAGCCTGAGTGAACCCCGGGAACCGTCAGATTTCGAACCCCGCAGTGGGCTGCAGCGAGCCGCAGTTGGATTTAAAAGCGAGTCTCCTATCGACTGCGCTAACGCAGCCCCTTATGATGTGATATCATCACCCCCTCCTCCCCCCCCCCCCAGTTTCGCTTAGTCTAAAAATATTTACTTACTTACTTAGTTGCTCCTCTTCTACCTTAAGGTGTAGAGGTTTGCTAGAGAGATCGCCAGACGTCTCTTTCAGCAGTTTGCTTTCTGGCTTTGTTCCATTCCACTCCTCTGTCAGTTAGGGACTGTTGGATGTTGTCTTCCTAGCGAGCCCTGGAGGTCTGGTTCCCTGGTACTTAGCCTACCATGCCTGCCATGGTGGCCGATTTTCTAAAATTCTGCATACATGTCCAAACCATTGTAGCTGTGACTGATCCGCTCGGGTTTGTAAGGACTGGGTATCAAGATCTTAACGTATTCTGGTAATCTGGTAATCCTAGTTTCAGCTTCATAGCGATCGGGTCACCCCATAGTTGCTCCGCTCCTGTGCCAACGAAAAACACACGCAGCTCACAGTGTCACGCCATGAAAATAAACTCATAAGCTGGGCGACGAAACTGGGGAAGGGACTTAGGACATTACATCCACCAGCAGGCGTCGCCCCTACAACGACCTGACTTCCTTCGTTAACGACTGTTCACCCAACAGCCATGCAGTTCTTTGGCACGAAGGAGACACCTTGAACTTGGGTTTCGGACTGCCGACTCCCTACAAGATGTTATTTTATGTTTTGTTACCACACTCGTCTGTGGCTAGGTCGATGCAAACGCTTCGTAATGCCGGGATGCCGGGTTCGAGCCCAGCTGCGGGCCATGCGCCTTGCGTTGGTTTCGACAGTGCTATCGAGAAAGCCGACCGTCCAGAAAGCAATGGCAAACTACTGGACGTAAATTTGCCTAGAAAAACCACACAACAGCCGGGGGCTTTTGGGGTTGGTTCTGCAACGTCCTGTAGAGGATACGCAATTAACCTTTTTTATCACAATCGACGTCACTGTACATTGGACATACCCATGCGTGCTCAGTCCTCCGAAGCAGCAGCAACTCCAAAGTACGCATACTAATTGTCCCCATGAGAAGCTGGTTATATTGTCTCCTATGTCGGCCTCGAAGACGGCAAAGACGTGCTTCACCACGCTTAACTCCCATGTCAAGCAATCGTGTTATTGTCAGGCATTCCTCATTATCCACTAGCCCAGTCCGTACAACGTTGACGATATCGGCTCTGTCCATGCTTTTTCCCGCAATCATTAGTGCAGTGCTTGCCAGTTGGTCCGCTCGCTCATTTCCCTTTACGCCCGCGTAACCCAGTGTGTAGATCCAGGTTACAGAGGTTAAGTGCGATTTCTGAATGCTTTCTATCCATTCAGAGCGCATACTGCCTGTTGCTATTTTCTGAAGCATATTCACTGAGTTTGAGACAATTAACTGCCTGTGTGGCGGTTTGCTCGGATACTCATGCTAAAGCTCTAGAAGCGGCGGCTATTTACATGGTCATGCTTGACGTGGTTGTCTGGTAAGCGCCGCTGTCCTCGTGTATTGTTTTCCCCCTTTTTTGTGCTGTGTATGCCCATGCTGACCTTGATCCGCGCAACGCAGATTACCGTATTGTCTGATTGCGGACTTTGTCCGTTCTTGTCACTTGGACCACCTTTCTCAGATATCTTATTTCTGAGGCCAAAAGCTGACTTCTGTGAGCTGTTGTCATTGCTCATGACTCACACCCATAGGTCAGGATTGGTACATAGGTAGAGCAGTTAACAGCCATTTTCGTCCTTTTGCCAATTTCTCTTTTGCTAAGAAACCCTCGGTTTATGAGCTGGACGAGTCTCCCAGCAGCTGCTTTTCTTGTATCCAGCTCGGTCTTAATACCTTCATTTCGGTCTAATACAACTCCAAGACATTTGAAC